AATAAAAAGACTTTTATTGCGTTTCATCATTCAACTAAGTCATTACCTTGTCCTTCTGCGGCTGTTTGATGTTTTTCTTGAAATCCATTTTGATGAATTACTTCCTTGCGTTTTTTTCTTCCGCTCGTGAGCTGCATGGTGTAGGGTGCATATAGGTCTCTCGTTGTTTCTGCGTGCTCATGCATTCTGCTTCTGCTGAGTTTTGTTTTGAAACTTGCATCCGTAAATTTGATTTTAAGTTTGTTTCTCTGCTGGCAGTGCATAGTACAGCATTCTTTCTTTCTCATGGGTGTCAACATGTTTTTCATGGTTTTGACCATTGCAAATATCATTTTCACTCGAAATATTGTATCAAAGAATGCGAGTCATCGATGCTGTATCGTGGCAATATTTCAACTTGGCTGGACTTCAGATGCAGTGCTTCAAATACCCTTTGACGTTTGTGTTGTCACAGTATGTTGTAGTTTTATCAGCCACCCGGTGTCGGCATTGTTCGGTGTTACAGTGTTTAATCATTTCTTTCTGCTACGACCGGAAGGAGCTGATTTTAGTCAAAAAGTCAATGTCACGTATCAACCATTTTTTTTGTAACGAGGCCTTGGTTGGTACTGGTGGTGCGCGTGTAAACCGTTCGGCTTGAGTGATCATACATCCCTTGATAGTTTGATTTTTCTGCTACGATCATTTGTAGTCGATATGACGACACCGCTACGAAAATGTAACATTGTCATGTCTTATACAGACGAACATATACACGGGGCTCTATTCGATTGTCGCGCGTCAATCTATAGTGTCGGATTAATTTCATTATCAGCCCCTCAAGAATTTCTAGATGGTGATACAGTTGCCAAGAACCGTGCAGGAAAGCCTTGTTCGACTCCCTCTCAGTGGCCTTAAACCTCCAATTTGAGTCTTTCTTGCACAACGTCAACGATGTGGCTTTTAGTGTGAATGCTTGCTAGGTGAAAGTCAACTATTCGTATGTGACAACCCCTCTTTTCACCCTTCTCTTGTCCAAGTGAACATGTTTCAAAAGCCAATCGCTAGTTTCTTTTTTGCGTTTCTTATTTTTTCTTTTGACGTCAAGTGAATTATCATTTTTCCATAATCCGAGCATATCTGAGACGAAATATCGCTAATGCTTGCAACTATCGTTTCGCAGATCGCCTGCTCGGGCTGTCAATGGGATTCTATCAACCTCTTAGACATTCAACTTGACCTCTGTATTCAAGGTATCTCATGTTCATCGATGGATACAATAATCTTACGAAATCCTATAGTATTTGTTATTCTACTCGATTCTACGCCTAATTCTTCACTTGCACTGGCTGTGGCTTTAATCCTCTTCCACATAGATACGCATGCAAAGTCATGTCATTTGGCCGATGCGTTGGCATTCGCAACATTCTTGACTATTTTCCTACAGCCCTGTGAAAGGTACTCGCGGTTTCCGAGAACACAACAAAATGCGATAATCCTGGAGTGGTTTCGGCCACTGGCGCAGACGGCTGCTTTGCTTTCGCTCATTATTTCTGGTATTCATTAATTCAGCCGCCACCACGATTTCGATATCAACGAACTGTACTCCTGAAACGCATAAGTCAATAACAACGGCAGGAGACCTCCACTTCCAATGTTGACACAACAGTTGACATAAGAGGAGACGTGTCTTCCCGGTGTATACAGCTTATTTTTGCTAGGTTCCGAATATTTATTGTTTATTAATTTTATTATTCTACACTCACATGAGTGCGCGCAATAGACAGAACTTTTGGCACGAATAAGAGCACAACAATATCAGGTAACTTAAATCATGCCAATTGGGCACTATTTTCTGAAGAATTTTAAACTCTTCAGCCGTAAGTATGTTGAGTCTAGAGGACTACGAATTCTAATTGCCATACGAACACTTTCGCTCTGGCCGTGGCAATGGCGTCAGCCATTCAAATCTGACGTGTCTGCTTAGAGCCGAGCGACAAACATTTTCACCTGAATTGTTAAAATGCTTACCTAGAAAAACCTATTTAGTCCGATCATCATCATAAAGACTACTTTTGTAAGCAGTGATATAAATGGTTGCGCAACGCTTTCAGTCGTAATGATTCCACTTTGCCCCACTTGCTACACTACTATTGGCCCGGCCGTGCGATCAGCTAGTAACAGGCAGTGAGCCTCAAGAGCGGATCCTCAAAACCTGGCTCCGCCACAATAGGTGCCACTTATGGCTAACGTTTCGTCCTCATTTTAAAAGAACTTGATCGGCTGTCTAAATTTTGGCTATGCGCTTATCACCAAAAGTCATATGTTTTTGTTTG